AACACAAACATGCACAGAATTTGCCAAAAATACTTATCTTTCTGACACCCACTGTTGACGATGTCACGGGATAGTGGGACATTCCATCTCCCAATGTCCGGGTTTACCACAGGCAAAACACATCCCTTGTGACCTTGGCGACACGCCTGGCCAGTAGTAGACATAGACATGCTCCTGGTGTCGTCATAAGTCATACGGCGTGTATCTGCTCCTCCCACGTGCGTCAGATTTAGATTTTGTTAGCTTTCAGGTTTTTTTTTGCTCTGGCTCTGGTACTGTCTATTTTTTTTCTCATCGTCCGAGTCAGAGGCTATATGATTGGCAACATATTCCTCAACTGCCTTCAAACCGGCTTCGGACATGTTTGCCAATTTTACAATTAGATCTACCTCGATTTGGTGGAAGACAAGCGTCTATCATTTGTAAATAAAATATCGTGTGTTTGACTTGTGTAAGTCAATACCCTCGGCTATTTTGGCTTTTGACGAAGAGGGTTCTGTTTCGGCCAACTGGATTGCGTCTACTAACTTGTATTTCAATTTTTCGTTGAACTTATGTTGATCCTCACAACTTTTCTTGGCGAATTTGTGGGGCTCGGCACACAAAATGTTTTGTGGAATTCTGCACAATTGAGCTTCTGAATTGTCACAAAGCCTATTTTCCTGGGTGCTAAACCTAGCAGACATTAACTGGTCCGACTGAGTAAGAATCTGATTTTGAGAAGATTCCAAAGCCGATTTCACAGAAATAGAAAGTTGAACTTCGGGATCCATGACAGCTAATTTAGCATGACCGCTCTGTACGGGACGACGGCTAGAAATGACCACAAACTCGCATTACACTGCGAAACGTCATAGCACACAGCACGTGCTACACTTGCTAAACGTGTCGAACAAGATTAGCGAGCCGCGGGAATGTCTTAATACTTTGCATAAAATCTATAAACAGGTGAGCCTTCAGTTTCGGATTTCCCAATGGGCTATATTTAATTTTAATTGTATATTAGCCGCCGGGGGTATTGCCACCAATTTTGTGTGGCCAAACTGACCACATCAGAGATATTTTGATACGGACAATAGTTTTAAGGTACAGAACAGCCAGAAATGTTGCTACTAGAACGAAATATCACTTTCACTATGGTCATGTTCTGTTAAGATAAGACTGTTTGGAGGTCATGTTCTAGTAACGTTAAACTGTTTGAAGGTCATGTTCGCGTATCAAAAGACTGTTTGATTGTCATGTTCTGGTAATATTACACTGGCTGAAGGTCATGTTCTGCTCACATTAAACTCTTTGGAGGTCATGTTCTTGTAATATTAGACGGTCTGGATTTCATGTTCTGGTAACATTAGACGGGTTAGAGGTCCTGTTCTTGTAACATTAGACGCGTTGGAGGTCATGTTCTGGTAATATTAGACGGATTGGAGGTCGTGTTCTTGTAACATTAGACTGACTGGAGGTCACGTTCTTGTAATATTCGACTGATTGGAGCACATGTTCTGGTAACATTAGACTGCTTGGGGGTCATATTCAGCTGACATTATACTGATTGGAGGTCATGTTCTAGTAACATTAGACGGGTTAGAGGTCATGTTCTGGTAACATTAGACTGATTGGATTTCATGTTTAGGTAACATTAGACTTTTTGGAGGTCATGTTCTTGTAATATTCGACTGATTGGAGCTCATGTTCTGGTACATTAGACTGCTTGGAGGTCATATTCTGCTAACATTGTACTGATTGGAGGTCATGTTCTGGTAACATGAGAATAATTGGAGATCATGTTCTGGTAACATCAGACTGTTTGTAGGTCATGTTCTGGTAACACTACACTGATAGGAGGTCATGTTCTGCTAACATTATAGTGACTGGGGGTCATGTTCTAGTACCAATAGACTCTTTAGAGGTCATGTTATGGTAACATTAGACTGACCAGGGGTCACGTTCTTGTAATATAAGACGGATTGGAGGTCATGTTCTAGTAACATGACCCTGTTTGGAGGTAATGTTCTGGTAACATTACACGGGCTGGATGTCATGTTCTGGTAACATAAGACGGGTTAGAGGTCATGTTCTGGTAACATTACACTGATTGGATGTCATGTTTTGGTAACATTACACTGATTGGATGTCATGTTTTGGTAACATTATACTTTTTGAAGGTCATGTTCTTGTAATATTCGACTGATTGGAGCTCATGTTCTGGTAACATTAGACTGACTGGAGATCATGTTCTGGTAACATCAGACTGTTTGGAGGTCATGTTCTGGTAACATTACACTGATTTGAGGTCATGTTCTGCTTACATTATACTGATTGGAGGTCATGTTTTAGTAACATTAGACTTTTTGGAGGTCATGTTCTTGTAACATTAGACTGACTGGAGGTCACGTTCTTGTAATATAAGACGGATTATAGGTCATATTCTAGTAACATGACCCTGTTTGGAGGCCATGTTCTGGTAACATTAGACTGCTTGGAGGTCATGTTCTGCTAACATTAGACTCTTAAGAGGTCATGTTCTGCTAACATTAGACTATTTGGAGGTCAAGTTCGTGTAAAATGAGACTGTTTGGAGGTCATGTTATATTAACATTTCACTGATTGGGGGTCATGTTCTGTAACATTACACTGATTGGAGGTCATGTTCTGGTAACATTACATTAAATGCAGGTCATCCATTCTTGTTCTGATAACATTTTACCAGTCTAATGTTACCAGAACATGACCTCTTATCAGTCTAATGTTACCAGAACATGACCTCTAGTCAGTCTAATGTAACCAGAACATGTGACCTCCAATCAGTACAATGTTAGCAGAATATGACCTCCAAGCAGTCTAATGTACCAGAACATGAGCTCCAATCAGTCGAATATTACAAGAACATGACCTCCAAAAAGTCTAATGTTACCAGAACTTGTCCAATCAGTCTAATGTTACCAAAACATGACCTTAAGACAGTCTAATAAGAGCGTAACCCTTGGGCATCAGAGCGAAGCTCTTTAATGGTATCACATGCGTGCATATATAAAGTTACTTCCCCTTGTTACACATTGCCTTCAAATTTTTTTCGTCGGGAAGTAGACATCCAGTTTGGAAACCGGAAGTGTATCCTTGAAGCAAAGACAATTGCGTTTCAACTCATACATGAACATCTTCATAATTAAAGTGAAAGCAATCCTGTTTTATTACTTGTTTATCAATATAAAAACTAGCATACATTTCGTAAAAAATAATCTGTCACATAAATTATGATACTAACAGCAAAGAACATCATCCAGTGTCAAGTAGTGTAGGAAAGAGCCCAGACAAGATAATGTGTCAAGTAGTGTAGGAGATAGAGCCCGGACAAGATAATGTGTCAAGTAGTGTAGGAGACAGAGCCCGGACAAGATAATGTGTCAAGTAGTGTAGGAGATAGAGTCCGGACAAGGTAATGTGCGGAAGGACGGATGGACACAATGCAACACTATAGTCCCTCCCCCGCCCAACCCAGTGGGGGACTTACAAGCATACTTATTTGGAATTAACAGTCACTCGAGTTCTGCATATATGTATATAATATTGATTTTTGCTTAAATATTACAAATTTAAATATTATTCAAAGTGTTAAACTCTGAGGCCCTGGGCATGAATCCCTCACCTGGCTATTTCAGTGTTTGTTTGTTTGTTTGATTTTGTTTAACGTCCTATTAACAGCTAAGGTCATTTAAGGACGGCCTCCCCTGTGTGCAAGATGCATGCGTGTAGTGTATGTGTGTGTATTTTGGGAGGCTGCGATATGTTCGTGTTTGTCTTCTTGTAATAGCGCGGAACTGATGCCGACTTTATAGTGCTACCTCACTGAAACATACTGCCGAAGACACCCAGCAGGACGCCCCACCCGGTCACATTATACTGACAACGGGCGAACCAGTCGTCCCACTCCTAATTTGCTGAGCGTTAAGCAGGAGTAGAAACTGCCATTTTTAAAGACTTTGGTATGTCTCGGCCAGGGGACAGAACCCAAAGCCTTCCTCACAGGGGCGAACGCTCAACAAATGGCCAAAAGTGAGGCATTGTCAAGGGAGACATTAGGAAAAAGAAAGTTATTTAGAAAGGAGAGAAGAGAAAAGGTCCCAAATTTAGTCGCCTCTTACGATCATGCAATTGGGGGCAGCAGGTACAATTCTTACGCCCTACCTGCAGGGCATATTTCAGTGTTCATGGAAAAACCCTATTTAATATATTACAAATATTTTTTCATATTTGGATCCACCTTTGATCAGTGAATGCATGCAAGTTAACATTTTGCTATAACTTCAACATCTACTAGCTTTCTGGATCATTCAAAGCAAATTCAGTTGAAAAAACACTCAATTTGAATAAACAAATCTGACATACTGTTTGGCCCCCGATCCCTCTGTTTCTTGGGTAGGGGGGATATATTTTTAAGTTATATAACATTTAGTTCCCATCACCCAAGGATGCTTTTGACCAAAGTTGATCAAAATCCATTTTAAATAGTCATTCAGGACAAATAGCAATTTACAGTGCAGGACATCAGACCGTTGATGGCATCAACAGTTTAAATAGGTGGTCAAGTCGCTCACTAGCTTAAGTGTATTGGTTTTTCACTCGGGTGTGTGGTGTTTCATCTCACGCCGCAAAGCGAAAGGGGGCGGAGCTACAGATCCAAACGTCTGACCTACTTCCTTAGTGACGCATGAGACTACCGACAAGTTCCAAGTCACCGAGCGCACAGCATCAACCATGAAACAACTAACCGGGATTATTTTCAACCAACTTGTGCACACAGTTTATGTTTTGACAGCATGACTCATAGGTAGGGACACAGACTTCGATTACAGTGATCGAACATCAAAATAAATTACTAATATGGCTATTTTTGTTGTGTTGTCGATTTATATTCATATTTTCGAGATCGATTGTTGACTTTTACATCAGAAGGGACCTCTGACATCTAATGTAAGCATGTATCCTCCAATCCTCCTCCCCCCCCCCCCCCCCCCTTTGGGCCAGGTGAGCTAAAAAGCAGCTTTGTCAGATAAATAGTGCTATCAAAATATATCGGTTAAAATCCAAGAAGACAGCTTCTCATCTTGTTTTTTATCAGTGTCTCAAAATGTGACATTTATGTGAAATTTCAGAACGATCCCCAAAGCTCTTTTGCGAGAAATTAAAAGCACTGACAAGATTTCTATCTATCATATTTTGCTGAAAATATCTCACTTAGCCCTCTTTTAAAATATATAAATGTGTATTGATAGGTTTTTCAAAAAAATATAGACAACATATGAGTGGACTAGTAAGTGATCTAAAATATTGCACAATATCAGTTACATCATGACAGATACATGTACAAGAGTTTTCATTCTTGGATATACGTCATATTTGCTGAACTGTAAAAGTTTAGTTTTGGCCAATTTGAAGCATGATGAAATCCAACAATTCCACATGCAGCCTTTTTGTAGCAAGAAACAACTGACCTGCTTGAACAAAATTCTGCTTTGAATTCAGAGAGGTAGGGTTTTCTTACTGTATCTGTTATGTCTCTCTTCATGAAACTCGTAAAGTTAATATACAGCCATAACATTACAATAGTTGCAGCGCTAACATCTTCATGGAAGAGCTTCATGTCCACCATTTTTTTTAATAGCATATCATTATGACTGTCATATGCAAAAACTAATATCTGTCCTGGTGTACAACCAAATGCCGGAATCGGAAGGCCAGAGAGAGAAGGATGCTTGTTGACTTGTGCAAATGAATTGGTTATTGTTTCTGCAATTACTTGACTATAGCCCAAGCTTTGTGAGCTAATGAAGTCAAACAAATGTTCATCCTTGTTAACTTCGACTGCCATTTTCACCTCTTCTTGGGGATCTGTTGACTGCAAAACTTGAACTGGCTGGTTACCTCGCACAATCATATCCACAAATCCATGCCAGCAAGATTCAACACCTGAGGAAAGATAAAAAGAATCATGCCTGTAATATCAAATATGAGAGCCATGGAGCAGAGAGAGGAGTATGATAATATGTCCATAACATATATATATATGAAAGACAAAATATGTATTTAAAGTTCAGTTGAGACTTTTTTTAGTGAAACTGACAGTAGTAGGGAAAATGCTAAAACTGCTCTTTGTTTCCGACCCGAAGATCTGGTACAGACTTTATAACTTCACAATGATCTTCATACAACAACACTAAGTAGGAAACCCCAAAGAGCTTGTATAGACTTTGCCCCTTAGCTTGAATACCTTCAGTTATACAAATTATGATTGACCTCCACCATAAATCTTTTAGACCAAATTTGGTTTTAATCCACTCAGGCATGAAGGAGGAGTAGCGTTTTAAAGCAAAATTGTAACTAAGTTCCCCTTTTGGGGAACCTCATCTCCGTCCCCAGGGGTCAAACCAGCCTCCTTTATATATAAATTATGATTGCCCTCCCCAAATGAAGTTTCAGACCAAATGGTTGAAATCCACTCAGGCATTAAGGAGGAGGGTGTGTGAGGTGTGTGTGTAGCATTTAAAGCGAACAAGTCTCATTTATACATGAAATGATTGCCCTCCCCAAATAATGTTTTAGGTCAAATAATGTTGAAATCTGCTTTGGCATAAAGGAGCAGTAGGGTGTTGAAAGGAAAAGTTCACGCATGGCGGACAACCAAGGAAGCAAGATGGCAATAGGTCAGTCATCATGACCCTTCAGGTCAGATGACCTAACAAGAGGCCCAGAGTGCCTGTATCGCTCACCTGGATATTCAGTGATAATGGCAGATCACTCTAGATACTATTAAACAAAAGAATCAGAGGACTGATGAAAATAACTTTATTGGAGGCTTTTCCTGTCTGTGAATTTTGTATTTTTTAAGTGTTCATTTACACATCATTATCTATATCCATTACTTGATGATGAAGAAGATATGTGAATAGGACAAGAAACTATCTTGGCTGTTGAATCCACATTTAAAATCTTAACAACCGTACGTCTATTTGTCCAATTTGATAAACTTATATATTTGTATTCAATTATGGATTAGAAATATTAATTCTTAAAAGATGGTTGTATATAAGAGCATTTTAGATGAAATCAATGTGTTGAAATTAAGTTACACAAAGAAATGAACAGTTATCTTTGCACCCATTTGAAAAATCTCATAGCAGAATTGCAACAAGTATAAATACTATCAAAGTAATATTTATTACACATTTGAACTTTGACCCCTACCAAAAACCGGAAGCTGACCTTTGATGGTCATTCTTGTGCATATCACCCCAGCATATTAACAAACTTTATAGTCCATTGCTTAAGCATGATGTTGACCAAATATATTGACCTTGGGCCATTTGGTTATTGAGAAGAAGTCTTTTAAAGTTTGTTCTATAAAATTAAACATTTGTACAGAACTTTGACCCCTACTGAAAACCGGAAGTTGACATTTTACACAAAAATGTTTCCGAAGAAATATAATTTATTTGTTATTCTACACAACATATCCAAAGATGAATTCAATACATTTAGCCGTTAATGAGATATTACAATTCAGGTAAAAATTGAATATGACGTCATGGCGACCATTTTGTTCTTTCGGTGAAGATGAAAATATCAACAAATGATAGAAGCCATCGGGGGAAAACTTTTCCATAACTAAACAAAATATTAGTCTAGTATTGGAGTAAAACAGGTCTAAACATATTGTCTGCATTTTTAAAAGATCAAAGGAAATTTTTCAAACGGCATACAACACCCACGGTAAGTGTTACAGAAAAACTTAAGACATCAAATTCATCAGAATGACATTTTTCATCGATCTGTAAAAGAATTTTTCAAAAAAAATGATTTTGTTTTTTAATTGGTGACCTTTGACCCAACAGAGAGCTTTTCTATTTGAAATATTTTGTTTTAACATGTAATGAGAAAAAAGTTTGATATTAAAAGTATCTACAAATAATAGAATTGCATGAATTCTGTACAATGAACAGATTTCGAGTTATAGCTGTTTTAAAGATTTTAACCTATGACGTCATGACGACCATATTGGATTTTTGACCTACTTGAAAATGTTGCTGGAACATCTTCAGACCTTGGCCTACAACATACCTAAAAGACTATACACCTATATTTTACCAATCAAAAGATAAAGACTCCACAAAGGACAGACCCTTTAGGTCAGATGACCTAAAAAATAGTCATAACAAACTTCAACTGCCATAATCCAAGATGGCTGCTTGTCGGCCATTTTGTTTTCCTGATCGGACTTGAAATTGAATGGCCACAACTACAGACAAAAGGGAACCTACATATCAAGTTTGAGAACGATCCTTTCAGCACTTCTCAAAACATAGTGATATTTAACTCTAACCTGCCAATATCAAAGTTGGCTGCCTGGCGGCCATTTTGTTTTCCCGATCACACATAAAATTGAATAGGCAAATCTAGTGACCAAGGGGGACCTACATCTTAAGTTTGAGAAAGATTCTTCCAGTACTTCTCAAGAAATCGCTATAACAAACTTCAACTGCCAAAATCCAAGATGACTTCCATTTTGTTTTCCAGACCAGATTCAAAATTCAATAGGCACAACTACAGACTAAAGGGAACATACATGTGAATTTTAAGAATGTTATTCCACATTAATCTCAAGAAACAGCAATAACAACTTCAACAATCAGAATTCAAGATGGCTGCCTGTCGGCCATTTTGTTTTCCAATCACACTCAAAATTGAACAGGTACAACGGGGGACCAAGGGGAACCTACGTATAAAATTTGAGAACGATCCTTCTAGTACTTCTTAAAAACAAGAGGCCCAAGGGCCGTAGCAGTCACCTGAGTTATATTATAGGTATACTGGTAGCTTTTTTTTATTGTTTAGATGTGATGTGGAAATCAGCATGTAAACTAAGTGAAATACAATACTGGCCCTAGGGGTTGGGGTAGGAATCCCAATTTTACAATTTAAAACCATCTTCCTCCAAGGAAAATTCTCACCAAGTAAAAATATTTTCCTACAAAAAGTTGTCAAAATATACCCAAAAGTGTTATTTCCCTAAATAAACTATAGTAAAATTTACCCCCCTCCCCAAGGGAGAACGGATAGCTCTGGGGTCCTTAAATTTACAATTTAAGTAAAGCCCCTGATGTTCTTTCTTTCCATGCAGAGAAAATGACTGTAGTACCTCCGAGTCTGGAGAAGAAGATTTTTGAAATATCGGTTAATTTTCCATTTGGGTCCCCGCCCTGGCCCCAGGGGTTGGGGTAGGAATCTCAATTGTACAATTTGAAATCATCTTCCTCCAAGGATAATTCTCACAAAGTAAAGATAATTCCCTACAGAAAGTTGTCAAAATATACCCAAAGGTGTTTTTTCCTATATAAACTATAGTAAAATTTTACCCCCTTGAAAATGTAAAATGTTTAAGCACAACGCACGACGACGGAAGGAAAGCTATTTGAATAGGTCACTTGATAACAAACTTCAACTGCCAAAATCCAAGATGGCTGCCTGGCGGCCATTTTGTTTTTTTCGATCAGACTCAAAATTGATTTGGCACATCTAGGGACCAAGGGGAACCTACGTGTCAAGTTTCAGAAAGCTCCTTTCAATACTTCTCAAGAAATAGCAATAGCAAACTTCAACTGCAAAAATCAAAGAGGGCTGCCTGGTGGCCATGTTGTTTTCCTGATCAGCCTCAAAATTAAATGTGCACAACTAGGGACCAAGGGGAACCTACATGTTAGGTTTGAGAAAGATCCTCCCAGTACTTCTCAAGAAATAGTAATAACAAGGATTGTTTATTGACGGATGGAGGGATGCAGACAACTGACGAAGGGCGATTGGAATAGCCAAACATCTGGATCATTGTGAGCTAAAATCCTTTCAGTACCTCTCCAGTTCCTCTCAAGAAATAGCGATAACAAACTGCCAAAATCCAAGATTGCTGCCTGGTGGCCATTTTATTTCCCCAACCAACCTTAAAATTGATTTTGCACAAGAAAGAACCAAGGGTAAAATCCAAGATGGCTACCTGGCAGACATTTTATTTCCCAAAACAGACTTAAAATTGAATGAGCACAACTAGGGACTAAGGGAAACCTACATGTGAAATTTGAGAAAGATCCTTCTAGTACTTCTCAAGAAATACTGATAACAAACTTCAACTGCCAAGATCCATGATGGCTGTCTGGCGGACATTTTGTTTTCCTGATCAGACTCAAAATTGAACCGGCACAGCTAGGGACCAAGGGGAACCTACATGTGACGTTTGAGAAAGATACTTTCAGCGCTTCTCAAGAAATAGTGATAGCAAGGATTGTTTATGAACAGACGGCCCACAGACGTAGGGCAAATTGAATAGCCCACCATCTGATGATGGTGGGCTAAAAACTCCAAAGATCTTACCTATTCCTGTTGGTCCTTTTTCCATTTGAATACCACATCCACAACTACAAACACAGCTGTCTTCTTTTGTAATATGGGTATCAATAAGGCATTTCCCTCCGCTTAGAGGATTAAAAAGATGCACATTCAATACTTTTACAACTTCTGTTCCACTCATTCTTCTTGAATCTTTGCTGCTTTGAAGTACTTTTTTCATACAATTTATGTGGTAATCCAAATCTGAAAAAAAAAAAAGTATGTATGGTGACATATACTCAACGTTCTGCAAAAATACCTTCTGAAGTTGTATATTAGTCTTTACTGAATTGAAACCCAACATTATTTTCATAAATATACAAGAGATCCAAGAGGGATCTTGGCGCCCAAAATCAAATTATCTTTTCTCTACTTTTCTCATCTTTCCTCTCTTCCTCTAAAACATTTTGAAACGGGGAATTTAAGTAATCTAAGAAAGATCAATCTGGATCTTTCAGAGAAATAGCGATAACAAACTTCAACTGTCAAAATTTAAGATGGCTGCCTGGCGGCCATTCTGTTTTCCCAACCAGATTCAAAATTTAATGGGCACAACTAGGGACCAAGGGAAACCTTCATGTCAAGTTTCAGAAATACAGTGTAATTTTTTTCCTGTTTTTGGGTCCGAAATAAGGCCCCATTCCCAATGGCAAAAATTAAGCTTTTTTCCCAATTTGCTTGGGTTACTTTTCCCAATCGTATATGTGTAAAAACAATTGTCAAAAACAAAGTCTAAATTCATGCTTGTTAATGTAAATCCATCATACAGAAATGCTGCTTTTATCAATGGTGGTGTGCTACCTGATAAAATAAGCCTTTAAAATGCACTAGAATGCACCACAGAGGTTCTGGATTTCAAAATTTCCCCCGGACCCCTCCTACTGGGCTTCATGTCTTCTGGCTGCAAGAGTGAAAATTTCCATTTTCAAAGGGCCCCTGGCCCCTGCAGTCCCCAAAGTGCAGAAATTACACTGAAATATCAACAACTAAATGGGAAAAGGCACTACTAGGACCAGGAACTGTACTCAAAAACTACTCATACACTTGTTCTAGGAAAGACAGTTCTAACCAAAGTGAAGCCCTCACGCTGACAGAACACTAACTACAGTTGGTGAGAAGAAACCTAGCAATAGGCAGAGCCATGGGGGCGGTAACCCGGTAACCAACTAATTCTCCAGTAACTGTTTACAGCACAGGGTGACTTGTGTGCGGGATCATGACGCTTGTACAGGAGTGTGCCCAACTCGATATAAAGGATTGGCATTCATAAGACATCAATTACCTAGCATTTGGGGAAAAATGGTTTCCCAACGTTTCGCCCCCCAACCCGGTTCGCACCACGACGTTTCGTATCTTTGAAAAACATTTAACTATGTTACCAGTTTTTCCACATGTCGGATGTACATACGTGTATACTGTTCATTCATTAATACTTAGTCTAACTTAAAAAAAACCACTTTATATGGTCTGTTTTTAGTCATTTTGCTAGGATGTATTATGTTAAAGTTAATAAATATATTGAATAAGAATTGGGCTTTAATAAGAATGGGGCTAACGGAAAGCAGAGTCCACATCACGCGTACATGAAATATATCAGTTGAGAGAATTTCATATTCGTGGGAAAAAAGAAATGGTAGAAGATCGAGATGCAAAAATGAAAGAAAGTAGTAACTTAAGTATAGGTCATGACTGAAAAGAAAAAAATATCATAGTGGGTGCGAACAGGTTTGTCTTTGGGGTCGAAACGTAGTGGTGCGAACACTAGTTGTGATCTGATGTGATCTGTTCTGTAATTAATATAAATGCAAATATATAAAAGATGAAATACAAAACAGAACATATAAATTTTATCATTGGTAATATACAAAATAGTTTACCATACATCGTATAGCTTCGACACACAGAAACTGGTATTGTTGTATAGGAAATGCAAGTAAATTCTTCAAAGCAAAGAATATACAAAATACAAAAAAAGTAACTATGATGATGAGGTACATACAATATAGATAATCATACATCGTATTCTACGACACGCCGAAACGGGGATATTTTGTAGAATCAGTTGTGTTGACTTGGAATGCCCTTGTTTTCACTGTTACCACTGTCTAACGTCTGTACAGGTGGAATGATGACTATTTTTTCAACTAGTTCAGGCAGTTTGAGCTGCCTACAGTCAGCTGCCTATTTCAATCTATTATTAAGTGACTCTTTATTATTATTTGCCCAAAGTTCTTTTAGTGTTATTTATTTCCTTATTTTGAATTGGTTTCTGAACATGCTTTTTAATTTTTGTTTCCAGATGTTTTTCCCAGTAGATTTCAAATGCTGGATATTTCTCAAAGTACGGAATCAAATCATCAGATCGATCGATGAGAATATTCAAAATCCTCTTTACTAACTTGAGACGATCGAGACCATCTTCACCAAAAATGACCCAGAATATGAATGCTTTGTCGGTCTATCGGTGGTGTTCTGGATTTTTCCAGAAGCCATTACAATTGATTGTTTTTTTGATACCTGTCAATTCACTAGCGAAAGGATCAAGACTAGTGAAGTAGATAATCACAAGACTTACAGGAACACCTGGTAAACCTGTCCATTACCTTGAGATACGTGCCAGGCTAAAAGAGTCGGCATCGATAACATGTCACACTTGATTATATACAAATTATATATATATGATAAATTAGCAAAGCAAAACACTACGTGTCAGAATAGATTTAATTTGAAGAGGTAATTACTTTAAATAAAAATTGATATACTTTTCAAAGTAATTAATAAACAGTTATCATAAAGTTAAAAACTTTAAAATTATTGAAAAAATTACGAATGAACAATATTAATCTAATCATATATCTTTTTTAAACTTGTTTTCAAGGTATCGTCATACATTTTATTCCTCTATAAAATTTGTTGAAACTAAATAAATAGATTTTATTTGCTTATAAACGTTGGATACCACATGAACGTATAAACATTATGTAATACATAGTTATGCAATCAATAAGTCAACTAAGACAATACGTACATGTACAACTACAAGCCATCTCTTATTTCATGGTTCATGTTTCTCTATAATAATTATTTTATTTTAACTCAAGGTTCCACGTAACATTTTGCTGATACTTGAGAATTATGTACAGTATATCGTTTGTGTTTCTTAAATGCATAAAGTTGAGTTTATAATAACGACAGATTTAAACTGAAGATGTGCATCTTACTTGTGATATATGATACTTATATATATATATGATATCATATGATAGTTTATATGTGAAAACAACAAGCAAATTCACTCCTATTGAAAACATACATGTAATTAGTAACAAGAGGCCCATAGGGCCTGTATCGCTCACCTTGATATCTAAGCAATCATGGCAGAATATTCTCCAAATGAGATCCAAGGGAATATGCCAGACCCCAAGGCTAATCCTTGTAGCATATATATCTGTATTCAATTTTTCATGCCCAGCAATTTTATGTATGGTTATGGGGTGGGGATCTCAACTGTTTCCAAGCTGTGACGCAGAAACTAGGTCCCTACGGTTGTGGCCAGACCCCAGGATCAATTCTAATATCATGACTGCATTTGTCTCTTTTTGCCCAGCATTTGTATATATAGTTTTGGGGTGGGGATTTCAACCGTTTCAAAGTTATGACCCAGGGGTTAAGTCTGCAAGGGTGGGGCAAACCCTGGGGTCAATTCTAATATCATGACTGCATTTGTCTCTTTATGCCCAACAATTGTATATATAGTTTTGGGGTGGGGATCTTAACCATTTCAAAGTTATGACCCAGGGGTTAAGTCTCCAAGGGTGGGGCAGTCCCCAAGGCCATCCTGGAAGCATAT